GGTGTGGGCAAGCTGGAGGGATGGTTCCCCAAAGGCCATCCCACCCTGTCTACTTACCTGCACGGGCTGTCCGGCCAACTCGGTGGATGTAGATCTTTGGGAGCCCGGGGGTATTGTGGTTAATGACCACCTGCACTGTGGGAATGTCCAGGCCCCTAGAGGCAGAGGCCGATCAGCACCACTGTCCACATGGTAAAACCGATGCTGGGACTCACCCAAGGTCATTTAGCAGTGAAACGGGTTGCCCAATCCTTGCCCGAGGCCAGCCTCCCCCTCTGGCCCCTCTGTGGGGGTGTCACCGGGCCAGCACATAGGACGGAGTATTCTGCTCACCGGGAGGCCACATCTGTTGCAATCAGGATCCGATAGATGCTGGACTTAAACTTGGCCAGGGCAGCAAAGCGTTCTTTCTGAGCCGGATGAGGGAATAATTGGGGGAATGGGGATGGGGGTCAGATACCATCTTAGTCAATGAGCACTTATTGTATGAGGCCTAGGACAGGGCTGAGGCCAGGATGGTCCTGCCCTCACAGGGCTCACAGTCCAGGGAGGGAGATGACTAAAAAAGCCAGAACAGGGCGAAGGGGGGTGGCAGGAAGAGTGTACCAGGCAGAGGGAAGAGCCTACGCAAAGGCCCGGAGGCTGGGAGGAGTCACAGGCAAGGAGAGCAGGTGGGGGTCTCCTCACCTGTTTCATCATAGAATGCAGAGCCACAGTGGGGAAGTTGAACTTGCGTAGCATCATGCACAGGACCTGGCAGGTCCTGGTGGGAAGAATGCACTTTTAGCCCCTACAAAGCTGGGGTCCTGGGAAAGTGCTCTTTGCCCCCCACCCCAACCCTGCCTAGGACCCCAGACAGGTGCCCCTGCACAGACAGGCAAGGACAAGCTAAGGTGCAGGGTGTCTTGCCCACTGACATCCTCTCTGCTGACTCCTCTCCTAGCCTAAGCCAGCAAGAGTCAGCCCCACACCCAGACTTTTCAGGTAGCCAGTAAGTTCTTCGGGGTCCCATCAATGCGGTATGGACTGCCCACCTACTGGCTCATGTCAGAACAGTCTACAGCCTCTTGACAATCCCTGCACATGTTTCAGAAGAGTCAAAAGTCCCCTGGGACTATGGGGAGCACAGCCCCGGGTGTGGGTGCTGCTGCTCTGGGCCTCAGGGACCTTAGACCAGTGATGGCGAACCTATGACACGCATGTCAGAGGTGACACGCGAACTCATTTTTTTGGTTGATTTTTCTTTGTTAAATGGCATTTAAATATATAAAATAAATTATCAAAAATATAAGTCTTTGTTTTACTATGGTTGCAAATATCAAAAAATTTCTATATGTGACACGGCACCAGAGTTAAGTTAGGGGTTTTCAAAATGCTGACACGCCGAGCTCAAAAGGTTCTCCATCACTGCCTTAGACCATAGTGAATAGGCTGCTCCAAGAATGGGGACAGCCTGGCTTTCATGTTAAGGGCAGATCTGAGGAACCCCCATTCCTGTTCCACCTTCAGAAGATGTGATCCTGGTGAGTGGCTTGTTCTGAGCCGCTCTGAGCAAATCTCTCAAAACCTCTGGTCTGAGCAGAGGCCCTGGAGTGCAGAGACTGGCTGTGTGCCTCCCACCTGTGACCTCGGGCCACCTCTTGGGCCTCCATGGAAGTCTGTGGGAAGCGGGCCCACCAAGCTCACTTGCATGTGTTGGTGAAGATGATGATGGACCAGTCGTCATGCTCATCATGGAACTTCTGGATCAGGTGGACCAAGTAGGCGTCCTTGACCTTCTCAGGCACCAGCAGGTAGCGCTGGTCTAGCTGTTCTACCGTGCGCACCCTGGGAAGGGGTAGGCCTCAGTTTCCCCTTCTGTTGAATTCGGCCAATGCCCTGCCCACCTATGGGCAATTATCTCCATTGGGTGTATTGGGTGTAACCCCACCACCACCTCTGCCTGCCCCCGACACCCCCCGAATGTGGCTGTGGACTCACGGGGCTTGAGCCTCCCAGAAGAAGGGCTGGTTGGTGGCCAGGCCCTGCAGCTCCTTTAGTGTGTCAGTCAGGGTGGCACTGAAGAGCAGCGTCTGCCTGCGGGCCGGCACCGCTGCCAGGATGGCTTCCAGGTCTACGGTAAAGTCAGTGCAGCCCTGCTCCAACAGCCGGTCTGCCTCGTCCATCACCTGCAACGCCAGCAGCAGCGGGTAGTGGTAGTGGATTTGGGGTGAGTGTGCTGTCCAAGGCTGGCCTGCCTCCCCCATATTCCTCCTTCCCAGCTTTGACCATGAGCTGCTCCATCACCTGTCTCAGCTCCAATGTCACTTCTTTAGACAAGCCCTGCTCCCAACCACCCCCACAGGTACAGACTACCTCTTGTGGGTCTCTGAGCTATCCTTGTCATATTCCTAACATTCTGCTGGATGGCCTGTGGGACCCGTTTTCCAAATGGATGAATCAGTGCCCAGGCCAACTCACCAGGAAGCGGATTTTCTTGATGCTGAACGTGTTGGAGCTGCGGAGGTGGTCAGCCAGGCGCCCTGGCGTGGCGATGACCACATGTGGTTTCCGGGAGAGCTCCAGGGCCTGGGCCACCATGTCTGCAGGTGGAGGGCAAGAGGTGGGGCTGGGCAGGTGGTCCAAGACTGCAGGGGTCCCATACCCAAAGCCTCCCTGGGGCCCCCGTACCCATGCCGCCAACGATGATGCAGTCTTTCAGGCCCAGAGGCTTCCCCAGGACCCGGAACTGCTCTGCGATCTGGTAGGCCAGCTCCCTGTGGGTGTGAAGGAGCCGGGCTGGGTAACACAGAGGTTTTGTACCTGTCTCCCATTCCCATCTCCACCCCCAGGGCTTCCCGACCTGCTCTCCTCTGTTCACACACCCTCCATGGCTTCCAGTCTCCTTTGGACAAAAACTCTGACAATTAGCGTTGGAGGCCTGTGTGGACCCTTCCCCCTTACCAGACTGGACCCCAGAACAGCCCAGGGCCCCTCCCCTACTGGCCTCTCCTCCTCCCATGTTCTCAGCAATGGCCTTGACACCAGTCACCAAAGCCTGAAACCCTCCTGCCCTGGGGGTAGCCAGTGTCCAAGTGCCCTCCTCTCTGCCCCTTGGCCCTGGCTCCAACCAGGCCTTTCCTCAGCCCATGTCCCCACTCCCTGGCCTCTTGTCTTGCCCTCGCCCTCAGATCCAATTATAACCCGGCATTCAAGGCCCTTCTCAAGCTGGCTCTAATGTGCCCAGCCCCCAATGCCCTTCCTGTTCCCTGCCCCTCACACCTCTGCGAGAATGTATTAGCAGTTCCCTCTGCCTAGATTACTTTCCCCAAACTTGTCCCTTTGAGAGACCCTTCTCATCCTTTAAGGCACCCTGACTGAAGCCTTCCTTGACACCACCCATTCCCAGGCCACACTCTCACAGCATGCAGTGCCTACCTCTCTTGTCATTACAAAACTTACCATGTCAACCACCACATCTTTATGACCAAGAACAAGAGAGGTGCCTATTCTTAAGCTACAAGGCTACTGACAGTTCCTGTCTGTCCAGTGCTTGCCCTGTGCCAAGCATTTTCCACACACTATCTTGTTTAATTCTGCAGCACTCTGAAGAGGGGGACATGATTTCTGTCCCCACTGTGCACACAGGGTGAGTACGGCAAAGAGAAGGAAAGTCGCTTGTCCAAGAGAACACAACCGGTTAACTCACCCAGGAGGCCTATGGGGAGCTCACCTGGTGGGCGTCAGGACAAGGCAGAAGATGCCATAGGGATCCTCAGAGAGCTTCTGCAAGATGGGCAAGACAAATGCTGCCGTCTTGCCACTGCCTGTCTTAGCACAGCCCAGGCAGTCCCGACCTGGGCAGAGGGCAAAGCAACATCAACAGTTTAGGTGTGGACAGGTGTTCCATTGAACAGTTACTGATACCGGCCCCTGCCCTTTCCATTCCAGGCATACGGACAAGTTCTAGGAAGGAGAGACCATTATCATTCCCATTTAACAGAAGGGGGAACTGAGACTCAGATTTGCCCCGGAACACAACCAGTGAGTGGCAGGCTGGACTGGAACCCCATATCCATGACTCGAGATGCTACTAACTAGTACCTCATTTTGACAACCCTCCCCACCACCACCATCATCTGAGCCAGGGGGACCTTGGAATGCCCTCCTCCAATCTGCATCTTATGCTCCCTATTGATTCTTTCACCTTTGTTTATTTAACCTGTCAACTTGCCACGGCCTAGGCTTCCTGTGGGCATCTCTGCAATGGCAAAGTGCAGTCACGGAATCAGAGTCCTGGATCTACCAGTAAACTTGACAGCCTCAGTTTCCATTTATAAAATGAAGACAGTAGTGCAAGTTCTATTCAATTTTCCCGGTACTATCGGTTAGTCATTCACCAAAACCTCGCTGAGTTCTGAGACTATAGACGTTTCAGGGTTACATCACTTGTGCGCGAACACAAAGTGAGTCGCGCAGCCTAAACGTTAACAACACTGCCATGTCTGCCTCCGGAACCAGGCTCCACGAGATGCCCGAGGCTGCCCCTCGCCTCTCCGGACCAGCATGGAGAGGGAATGGAGGAGGCACAGGAGCGGAGATGCCTTCTGGTGAAGAGGCCCGGCCACACTCACCTTCCAGGATGGCGGGGATGCAGCCGAGCTGGACGGGTGTGGGCTGCTTCAAACCCAGCTGCCGACATTGTTCCACGAGCCACGAGGACAGACCGAGCTCAGCGAACCCGGCCATCCTCGCTGCCTGCCGCTGAACTCCGGTGAGCGGCGCTTCCGGCGCGTGCCAATGACGTATGAAAATGTCCCATTGATTGGTTCCGACTCCTGTGTGGTTCCACCCTCTTAAACTCTCTTTGCCATTCCCAGACTTACGAATCCCATTGGCTTGCAGGATTAACTCAAACTACAATTCCCGAAATGCCCTGAAAGACGCATTTGCGCCACCCGCCCCTTTACTCTGGTTTAGGAATCTCTCATTGGCTCATCTTCAGGCCGGAACGAGGTAACTACATTTCCCGGCATGCCCTGCGGTGACTCCCCGCTTCCTGTAGACGTGTCCCTCCGGAAGAGGAGTGGGTGACACCAGAGCGACATGGCGCCCCCGGCTCCGGGTTCGGCTTCCGGCGGCTCTGGAGAAGTGGACGAGCTGTTCGACGTGAAGAACGCCTTCTACATTGGAAGCTACCAGCAGTGCATCAACGAGGCGCAGCGGGTGAAGGTGCGGCCGCTTCGGGGCCGGGGACTGAGGTGGCGGCGCTTCCTGCTGCCGCGGGTCGCCTTCTGTCTTTAAAAAATCTTCTGGCGGCGTTTACCCCCACGCACCTCTTCAGAGGCGGTGAGGAGTAATCCTCCCATGACAGGACCCGGAGCAATAGCAGTTTTTACTCTCAGAGCGCCCGCTCTGCGTCCTGGAGGGCGTTTGAGTTAGGGGTTTATGCTCTATAATAATAATGGCAGTAGTTCTCGTTTGTTGGGCGCCCACACTGGCCGCCATTCCCTCAATCCCCGTGAAGTAGGGACTGTTTATCTCACTTTACAGGTGAGAATACCCACTATCAAGAGAGGAGTGACGTCCCAGCGTCACCCTGCCCCAGGAGCCCGGTTGTTTCTCCCCAGACTCGCTCATTCATTCATTCCTCAGTGACATCTCGGGGGTCAGGCAGAGGGTTCGTGCTGAGCTCAAAAGAGTGACAAAATAGACAAAACTGTCAGCTCTCTTTTGGGAAACAAGTAAATAAATGAGTGAACAAGTCAGGAGGTGGTGTGATGGAGACGGAGGGAATGAGCTTGGCAGTTTGAGCTAGAAAATAAATCTTCATGGCAGGACCTTTAAGAGAGGGACATGGACCTTCTGTCTCTTTGGGAGAACCATATGGCAGGGTCTCTGCCTGTGTCCACAGCCTCGTGTTCCAAAGAGAGTAAACAAAGAAGCGAGTGAACAGTACAACGCGAGCCCTACGTGTGGGCCAGGGGAGATAAAAAGCACTCCGTCCGAAGCTGGCTGCTTAGCGTGGGAGTGGTCAGTCAGGCCTGCCTTTCCCATTGTCATTTGAACCTGAGACTGAACTTTGAGAAGCTTCTAACCCCGTAAGTTACTCCAAAGGTGCTGTGGCAGGTGTGAGCTCGGGGTCGTCAAGGCATAGGCGGCCCGTGTGGCAGAAGTTGGGGGGAGGTTTCCAGGGGGAGGATGGAGAATGGTGTGGGCAGGGCGAGAGGCAGCAGAGTTTTGGATTTTATTCCAGACTGATTAGGATTTTATTCCAGACTGATTAGGATGCCATCAGAGCACCAAAGAAGGGAGTGGCAGACATCTTCACAGAGGCAGCCGGATGACTGGGAGGAATTTGGACTCTGAAGTAGAGGAGGCTTGCTTTCCATGCCTCTCACCTTCGTCAGTGAACCTGATGTCTCTGAGCATCTGTGCAGTAGGGGCTTCGGGAAGCTGTTAGGGTTTGTTGAGATAACATTTGCACCATTGTATTAATTTTCTGTGGCTGCCTCGACAACTTACAACAAAGAGCATAAAACAGCACTAATTTATTCATCTCTCGCCGTTCGTTAGGTCAGAAGTCCAGTGTGGCGCTCACCATGCTACATTCAAGGTGTCGTCCAGGCATTGTCTTTTCTGGAGGTGCTAGGGAAGAATCTGCTTTCAAACGCAGTCAGGTTGTGGGCTCTCCACCAGGGGTCACTCTTAGCTCCTAGGGCAGTGGTTCTCAACCTTCTGGCCCTTTAAATACAGTTCCTCATGGTGTGACCCAACCATAAAATTATTTTCGTTGCTACTTCATAACTGTAATGTTGCTACTGTTATGAATCGTCATGTAAATATCTGATATGCAGGATGGTCTTAGGCGACCCCTGTGAAAGGGTCGTTCGACCGCCAAAGGGGTCGCGACCCACAGGTTGAGAACCGCTGTCCTAGAGGCTTTTCTCCAGTCTTCGACCTGCCTGCGTATGCTCCACCCCGTCCCCAGTTCCCATCTTAGAACCTGAAATTCAGAGACTTTCCCCTTCTGCTGCATTCCTTCTGCCCAGTCTCTGCTTTTAGGGCTTCTGTGATTAGACTGGGCCCTCCCAGGTAACCAGCATACTCTCTGTTTTAATCATATCTGCGAAGTCCCTCTGGGCAACCTCATTTGCCCACCATCAGAATTGTATGTGCCTCTTGCTAGGGTGGTCTAGACTGTGAGAAGATTGAGATGGACCTGGGCTCAGATTCCCATTCTTCCATGTTGTCTCTGCAGCTAGGGCTGAGCTTCAGTTTCCCCTCCTGACACCTCTCAGTAGGGCCACTGTGAAATTCAGCATTGCACTCATGTTCACCTTTTGGCTTCTGCCATGTGTCTGTGCTGCTTACATCATAGCAACGTGTTATTTGAGTCTTCTCACATCATAATATGCAAACTTTACATCACCGCTGAAGGAACCAGTGTGATCTGCTATACGTAGAGAGTGACTGAAAAACAAAGAAATCGTACCAGTGATCACTCTGGCTGGAGGCCCACACAACCCAGCTTCCGAGCCATAGACATTGCCAAGACATCTCTCTGAGGCATCCAGGGAATGGAAGCACTGTCCCTGCTGAGCCACCTAATGTCAATGAATTCTGGTCCATTGGAGCACCTAAGCCTCTTAGGCAGCCTGTGTTGCATTGAATGCTACCCCAGAAAGATATGTCCAACCCAGAACCTATTAATGTGACTTATTTGGAAAAAGGGTTTTTTCAGATGTGATTCAATGAAGGATCTCTAGATGAGATCAGCTGGGATTTAGGAAGGCCCTAAATGGTGTAATTGGTGCCCTTCTAAGAGGAAGGCAGAAAGGTTTGAGGCAGACAGAGAAGATGGAGGCAGAGGTTGGGGTGATACAGCCGTAAACCAAGGAATGCCTGGAACCACCAGAAGCTGGACGAGGCAAGGAATAATTCTCCCCTAGAGCCTTTGGCGGGAGTGTGGCCCTGCTGACACCTTGATCTTGGACTTCTGGCCTCCAGAACTGTGAGAGAATACGTATCTGTTGTTTCAAGCCCCCAGTTTGTGGTAGTTTGGTACAGTGTCCCAGCAACCTCAGATGGGCAGGACCTGAGGTGGTTCCAGGTGGAACACAGGTATGTCCTAGCACTATGTCACCATCATGTCCCTGTTTGTTGGGCACTTTTCAAGCGCCCACAAGATGGCAGGCACACCAAGGCATTGGGGACAAAACAGAAGAAAGCCTCAGGAGCGGACATCTAGTGTGGTCAGGTGACGCTCATGGCCAGTAAAGGGAGGGGATGCGACCCCTGCACCCCCTTAACTCCATCACTGGCCTCCCCAGATAGTACCTCTTGCTCTCAGGCTTCACTGCACCTGTCCACTACCTGGGGGCAGGTAGACCACCTGGTGTCAGACAGCATTGACAGGCTTGGGCCTTCTGGCTTTGCTGGTTTCTGAGTTCCCAGGGAATTCACATGAGCTGTCAGAACTGGAGACCCACAATCCCACAGAGCGCTCAACTCACCTGGTGCCCCTGGTCTGTACATCTGTCCTTTTTCTTTAATGTTTTTATTGATTTTTAGAGAGATAAGGGAGAGGGATAGAGAGATAGAAACATCGATGAGAGAGAAACATCATCAGTCAGCTGCCTCTTGCACGCCCCCTAATAGGGATCTAGCCTGAAACTGGGGCGTGTGCCCTGACCTGGAATAAAACTGGTGACCTCTTGGTTCATGGGCCTGTGCTCAACCACTGAGCCACACCAGCCGGGCTGTCCTTGTTCTTACGCCTCTCAGAAGCTCTTCTCTTTCCGACTGATTGAGAAGGTCCCAAGTGTCCACGTGTGGCTTTTTGGTAAGACCTTGGCGGTCGTGCAGGGTTGGTGATGGTTGTGCCCATTCTACAGATGGGCAGGTTAAGAGTTTCCTCTGGGACTCAAGAGTTCCCCTCAGGTTCCCCCATTGTGTCCTTTCTTCAAAGACACCAAGAGCCAGCATGTCTGTTGTTTTTTTAATTTAATTTTGTTTTGTTTTTGTTATCCTCACAAGAGGATATATTTTTTCCCATTGCATTTCAGAGAGAGTGGAAGGGAGAGGGAGAAGGGGAGAGAGAGAGACACACCAACTGGTTGCCTGTTGCACATGCCCTGACGGGGTGGGGGGTGGGGGGAGGTGGCATCTCAAAACCTAGGTGCGTGCCCTTGTCCGGGAATGGAATCCAAGACCCTTTGATGCATGGACCTTGCTCTAACCGTTTAGCCACACCAGCCGGAACAACATGTCTGTTTTTCTACTGAAAGTGGTGTGGGGCCCCCATATGGGTTGTCCACACCAGTACCCACCTCTGAGGGTCATTTGAAAGTCACTTATTTAGCAGATGTGTTCCAAATCATTGCCAGATCCCCAGCCTGGTCTCCAAGGTCAGAGAAAGCCCCTGGGACCCTGCAGTGAAGTTGGCCTGAGTCAGGCTGGGACTAGGAGCCCGGCCTCTTGTTTGTGGTCTCCCTTGGCCTGAGTGGAGGACACTGTTGCTCACCAACCTCACCCCTCAGGCTGGGGAGAAGAAGGCATGGTGACAGGATCTGGTTTCCACCTGGGGGAGGCAGTCCTGGTGTATCCAGACCCTGTGCTGTGGCAGCCATATAGGCCATCTCTGCGCTTCCTGGAGAGGCCATCCCAGGTAGCTGGGCCCTCTTCCCAGCTCATTTTTCTCTCCCAGCCCCTACGGTAGCCTGTGCCAGTGCCCCCACACCCTCTGGCCTGTGCTGCTCTGTGTCCACCTGTCCTAGGCATCACAGGGCCTCCAGGAAGTTGGCCAGCATCCTGGGGTCCAAAAGCTGTTCTCCTAAGAGAGGGTCCCTCGCCTGCCTCCAGCCTCCCGGGCCCGTCCTCAGTCCCACAGTGAACGCTGTATGAGGTCAGCTCACTTCGGCTCCTGGGCTCTCGGTAGTGGTTAGGCCGAGGCGGTGCAGTGCGTGGGCCTCGTCACCAAGTGCAGGGAGGTCCCCGAGGTCTGCCTGGCCCAGGCTAGACACAGCTGTCATTGTGCTGGGGCAGCAGAGCTGGGCTCTCCCAGAAAGGTCTTTTCCGTGAGGCAAACCTTTGTCACTTCTGTGTGTCATGTTTAAATTAAAGAGTGTTTTAAAACAAGAGCAGGACAGGAGCAAGCTGCGTGGAAATATCTGTCACAGAAAGTAAAGTCCCGTCATACATCTCCACCCGGGTCCCCTTGTTCTCCAGCATCACCTGTCCCCTTGGCTTGTGGCTAGAGCAGTTGTGGCACTTCTGGTGCCCAGTTCCGTACCTGGATGAGTGGCTGACAATTGCGCCTCCTTCCGGGGTGATGTCAGGATGGGACAAGATCAGGGCCCACCATGCTGTGTGCCCTCAGGGGAGGCTGCTCTCCTGCTGCCCAGAGCACAGGAAGTGGAAAGCCAGAGCCTGGCCTCCACCTTGTCGGCTCAGGCCTCTGAGGGCGTGTCAGGCACATGGCCCTGTGGGTCCTGACCTGCCTCTGTTTCCACAGCCGTCGAGTCCGGAGAGAGATGTGGAAAGGGATGTCTTCCTGTACAGAGCGTACCTTGCACAGGTGAGCATGGGCTATGACCCCGGCACCCCTGGGATGGGAGAGTAAGGGACAGTGCTAAGTGGGGGTTGGGCACCTGGCAGGATGAGGAGTCCCTGGGGGTGGTGGGTGTAAGTTCTAGGCATGGAGCTTCATGAGGGTGATGCTGGAACCCTGAGAAGCCCTGTGTTCCAGGGCAGGGCGGGTGGAGCTGACAGCGTGCTTGTCTCACCATAGAGGAAGTATGGCGTGGTCCTGGATGAGATCAAGCCTTCCTCAGCCCCTGAGCTCCAGGCTGTGCGCATGTTTGCGGAGTACCTGGCCAGCGACAGCCAGAGGTGAGGATTGGGGGCGGGGGGGCAGTCCTTTCTCCCTGCCCCCCCACCTTCCTGTGCTTCGGTTTCCCCTCCCTGGGCAGTGATGGGTTGTCCTCGCACCCAGAAACTGAATGTATCTTCACTGGAAATGGGGTCTTTGTAGATGTAAGTAGTTAGGATCTTGAGATCATCCTGGATATAGGATGGGCCCTAAGTCCAGTGACGGATGTTCTCATAAGAGACAGAGGAGAAGACAGGCGCAGAGATTGCGGTGAAGTGGACACACCAACAACTGCTGCGGCCGCCAGCACCAGGAGAGACCGGAAACTGACTCTGTTAGAGCCTCCAGAAGGAGCCGGCCCTGCCCACACCGTGACCTCAGACTTCTGGTCTCCAGACCTTTGAGAGAGTACATTCCTGTTTTGGTTCCCCAGTTCATGGTGCTTTGTGCCGACAGCCTCAGGATACTGAGACAAGCAGCCTCCTGAGGCCATCGTTTCTCCCCCTCTGTACCTCACTAGCCAGGGCGATGAGCCCCATGCTCACACGGAAGGGGAGGTAACCCTGGGGGCCTTCAAGGAGCGATGGCTGCTGCAAGCATTCCAGAAAAGAACCCACAAGAAGCACAGGGCATGGGGCGAGTGCTCCGGAAAACAGTGGCACCTGGTGCAGCCATCCCTTCAGCACACACTGCTCCCCATGCAGACAGCCCAGAGCCCATGAGGCTAAGTATAGAATGTGACAGGAACAACGTCCCACACTAACGTCACAGCCACAACAGCAGGCAGCATGTCCACACCCTGTGAGCCAGGAACCAGGCAGGAAGCTTCCAGAGATGGCTTCAGGGGCTCCTCACACTAATCCCAAGGGACCTTTGTACATGCCACCATGCAGAACCGGAAATAGGCTCATGTGAAGTCCTTTGTCCTTCACCTCCTTGGTGTGGACAGTGACGGGCATGTCCCTACCTTCCAGAGGCCCTCAAACACATGCACTTGGCCAATGGCCCCCCAGCACCTGTATGGCACATGCATTTGAAGAGACTGGACCCTAAATAGCAGTGGTGATGCAGGGTGGACCCACACTTCCTTTCAACTGTAGCAGCCCACGACCCCCTTTAAAACACAGGGTCTTAGCTCCATTTTCCAGTTAAGCAGAGCATGCCTCAGGCCCCCCTGGGGCTGTGGGGTGTTCAGCTGATCCTTGGTCCAGCCCTGGCTCCAGGTGGGCTGCCAGCCCCTGGCCCAGCATGGCGCCCCCCTGTCAGAAGTGGCTTGCGAGCTGGGCCGGGACACAGGACTCCTCAGGAAGGCAGCAACATCACTGGTGTGAAATTCACTTGTGCAGCCTCATGTCCCTGCACAGGCCCCCCTGACGCGTCAGCCTGTCCCTCCGTGTCAGGGGCACAGCAGCCTGGTAGCTCTGAGGGCCAGGGGACTCTAGGCCTGGACCATCATTCGTGCTGCCTGGTGGGCATGGCCCCTCCTGCACCACATCTCCCCCCGAAGCCTGGCGCACCCAGCCTGGGTTTCCTGTCTGTGTGAGGGTGAGAAGTGCCTCGTGGGAAGGTGGTGAGGCTGGCATGCAGGGTGCTAGGCAGAGACGGCTGGTCCTGCTCTGTCCCTTCGCTGCTGTGCACCCTGGGTATGTCTGCTCTTGCAGCAACCAGGCTGCTTCCTGCCGCCCTGGCCCTAAGCGCCTTGTCTTAACAGAGACACAATCGTCGCTGAGCTGGACCGAGAGATGAGCAGGAGTGTGGATGTGACCAACACCACCTTCCTGCTGATGGCTGCCTCCATCTACTTCCATGACCAGAACCCGGACGCTGCCCTGCGTGCCCTGCACCAGGGGGACAGCCTGGAGTGGTGAGTGGCCCCCGGCTCCGGACTGCTCAGGGCCTCTTTGTCTGTTGTCATGGGGATGGTGAGGTGGAGGCTGCTTTGAGAGATCTGCAGGGTCCAGGCCTCCCATTCAGGCTGCAGTTCCCATTCTTGGTCCCTTCTGCATGGCTGGGCCACTGCTGAAAACCCTGTTCTGACAGCAGAGCAGAAAGCACCTTTGTCTTTGCCCGTGGTTTCTGCATCCACATTCCCTTTGTGTCCTGGCCCTGGCCTTTCCACAATCTCCCCGGGCCCCCCAGCCCTCCCCTGAGACAGACCCTTGTTTAGGGCTGGGGCTCTGGAGCCCAGCGCACTGTGTGGTCAGCTCCGCCCCCACTCCAGGAGGGCATTCTGGGCCTACGCTGCATCCAGGGTGCGGTGTCCAGAGCTCTGGCCCGAGGTTGCAGCTGCCCGCTCCCATGAGCTCTCTGGTGCCTGCCTTCACGAAGTTAGTTGGTCACCACATTGGTCACATATGTTTACGTCCCAGCTCACTCCAGAAAGGGGTCTGCACCAGCTTAGAAACAGGTGTGGACCCTGTAAGTGTTTCTCAGGCTCCTATGAGGGCTGCTAGGTCATGTTCTGGTGGATAAACTTGAGAATGAGCAGCCACGTAAGTAGTGGACAGTCACACTGTCTAGGGCCAAAAGGGAGGAATGGGTTCGGGAATTGTGACTGAATTTGGGAAGGGAGGTGTGTGGCATGGGTATGGTGTCCAGCCCGGACAGAGTGCCTGTGGGCCTGGAGTCTGTACCCTTGGGACCCCACAGAAGCTCTCAGCCCAAGCGTGGTCAGTGTGAGATGTGGGAGCCAGGGCCCTGGGAGGTGGAGTGGGGCTTGGCCCAGTGAGGGAAGCCCAGGTCTAATCCAGCTCTGCTGGACTGGTGGCCAGCCTCAGTGTCCCCCTCTGCAAGGCAGGGCTGGTGGCCTGAGCACTCAGGAATGCACTGGGAGATGGCACCCCATGGAATGAGCTCTGACGAGATGGGTGGGGAGGGTGTCCACTGACCATCTGCCCTGTCGCACAGCATGGCCATGACGGTGCAGATCCTGCTGAAGCTGGACCGCGTGGACCTCGCCCGGTAAGCCCCTCTGTACCTGTCCCCCCTGGGGCTGCTGGGCTGGGGCCTGTGCATCAGGTTGTCTGAACAATGACAAGTCCATGTCAGGACCCCATGGTCCTCTGCCCTCAAGGGGGCACTCAGAATGGGGACGGTCCCAGAACCCACCTCGAGACCAGAACATGGTGGCATGATTGTTTCTCCAGTTATTTCATTCCAGTCCATTGCATGACACACCATCCTTACCTGCCTTTCCCTGCAGGATTGCAGGGTGGCGATGTCCATGCCTCAGTTTCCCTCTGTGATGTAGGTGTTGGGTGGGTTTTTTGAGTGTAGTGGAGCTGGCATGTCTGAGCCAAAGGTGGGGGGGTGACTGGGCCAGAGACCATGAGCCAGCCTGTGTGTGCATCCCATGAGCAAGGAACAGGGGTGTGTTGGGGGGCACCAGCCATATCACTTTGCTGCCTCCCACCTCTCTCCTCCACCCCCAGGAAGGAGCTAAAGAAGATGCAGGACCAAGATGAAGATGCCACCCTCACCCAGCTGGCCACTGCCTGGGTCAACCTAGCCGTGGTGAGCCTCTGGCCATGTAGGGGGCTTGGAGGCAGGGTGTAGAAGCATCGGAGTGCCCGGAGGTGGCCCCTGAATCCAGAGCTGCTGCTCCCATGGGGGGAGTACAGATATGGGGTTCCATGGGTACACTGGACTGATGCTTATTTGGGGCCAGGGTCCCATTTCCCAGAGGAACCTCCGCTGCCCAGGCCACCCCTGGCATGTTTCCCACTTTACTGAGCCTCAATCTCAACCCCATTCCGGGCTTCTCGCAGACAAGTGGCTCGGCCAGAGTCAGAGTGAACAAATTGGGGGCTCAATCCAGACTTGGGGCACATCTGCCCACACGCCTCTCCAGTGATGTGCCCCCTCCTCCAAGGTCTGATCCTGCGCCTGGAAGCTGCTCAGCTTTCTCTCTGGGCTCCTAGCACTGGGTGGTTGCCAGTGTCCCCCTGGCACCTTCCCTCGTGCCCAGCCCCCTCCTCACATGCCTGGGCACCCCATCCTCCGTCTCCTGGCAACAGCCCTTTTTCTGGTTTCTGGCACTTGGCTGCTGTTCCCTGAGTTGCTTTTTTGTATGAGCCTTTTAAAATGTGCTCCTCATCTGTGTCTACATTGCCCTCGGGGGTGAGGCCACACCCAGGCAGGTTTCTAGTATGTGTTCAGTTTAGTCGGATGAACCCTCTGACAGCACTCTTTGGTAGCCTTGCCTGTTTTTAAAAGCACACCTTGGTCTCAGGTTCCCTTGCAAATGTGGCCCTGCACCTTTAGCAAGAGGACAGAACACAGACCCTGGTGGGCAGGGGCAGCGCTGCTGGTTACAGAGAAGAGGCCACCCTTGACAAACCATGTGACCCAGTGGTGTCCACTTGACCTCGGCCTGGATGCCCATGGGCTAACTCTCCCTTTGGAAGCTTCAGCTTCAAGTCTGTAAACTGAGGGCTGGGGGAGTCAAGTGTGAGGTGGCTTCTTGCTGTTTTGGCCCCTTTGGCAGAGCCCAGGCTGTGTGGGGTCCCTGCACAGGGTCAGTGTCCAAGGAATGACTGCCATGGCTGGCCATGCCAGAACACCCATTGCAAAATGCTAGAATTGCTCTGCTCTGAGGGAGTGGGCTGGTGTAGGGCCAGGTAGCAGCGTGACAAAGCAGTGATGTCAGAACTGTCCCCACAGGGTGGTGAGAAGCTGCAGGATGCCTACTACATCTTCCAGGAGATGGCCGACAAGTGCTTGTCCACTCTGCTGCTGCTCAATGGGCAGGCGGCCTGCCACATGGCCCAGGGCCGCTGGGAGGCTGCTGAGGGTGTCCTGCAGGAGGCACTGGACAAGGTAGGGCAGGCCCAGCCCATAGCCCAGGGCTGCTGGAGAGGATGGCAGGTGACATGGGTCACATGGGGATTTCATTGCTGAATCAGCTAAAACTCATGATTGCAAACAAAAATCCTGATTTCAGCTTCTCTTGGAAATGGGAGGACCTTGTCAGCTGGGGTCTGAGTTGGCCTGAGCTGAGCGGACAGCCATGCCCCAGCCCTTCCTTGCTGTTACCTTGGCTGCCTGGTCTGGGGGCCTCAGTGTGATGCCTCATCTTGGTCTGTATTTGGAAGAGCACCCACTATTCACTATGTGGGAGGGGAGTGTGGGCTGCAGACAGGAGGTGGTGCCTGGACCTTTTCAAAAAGAGGAACCAAGAATACTCCTCTGGGGTGGCCACAGGTCTCTTCTCACCCCTGACACCTGAGATCTTTCACTATCTTTTATAACCAGAAAAGATATCAAAGCTTCTTCCATTTTTAGGAAACGTCTTTTATTTTTTATTTTTGTTGTTGTTAATGCTCATCCGAGGATATTTTTCCATTGACTCTTTTTTTTTTTTAGAGTGGAAGGGAGGGGGAGAGACAGAGAGAGAGAGAGAAACAACTAAGTGAGAGACCTTCCCCCGTCGATTGCCTCCCACACACACCCCGAGAAGCTGGGTCTCTGCAAAGAAGGGCAGCATGGGGGAGCGGGCCTGCAGCGGCCATGCGTCCTGGGTGGTGCATCTCTGTCCTGAGCGCCCCAGCAGGGCTCTCCCCCACATCTTTGCCTTGTAGCCACCAGGGGCTCTGGCTGAGGTTCCTGGCGGAGGCATTGGCTAACCGGTTCCCAGAGTTCCCTGTGCCTCAGAGCCCAGCATGAGCCAGTGGGGTGATGTCACCCTCCTGGAGCTTCTGGTAATTTCCCAGCCGCTTCCTGCCAAGACCTCCAGGGAGCAGGCGGGGCGGGCGGGGTCTGCCTGCCGTCTCAGACCCCATCCTCCAGCAGGAGGGACAGCTGGTGTGGCAGCACTGAGGCTGCCTCTGGCCAGGCTTTGTTACTCTGAGGTTTGAGATTCTTGTAGTAAATAGGCCCCTTCCAAATGGTTTGCGGCAAGGGGGCACTGTCCTAGTTTGATCTGATGAGGCACCAGGTTCAAGAGGGAGAGCAGGTGGGAGGACCCTGAGGTCACCAGGGTCAGACTGGCCAGTGCGGGGAGCACTCAGGGTCTTGGAGCCTTGAGCCTGTCCCACCTCTGAAGGGGTGGCCTTGTGCAGGTCACATCCCCACCCCAGGACGGTGGGGGAGGGCCATCATCCTGCCCGAGATGGGGGTGAGCAGGTCGAGTTCGGGGCCTAGAGGTGCTGACCCTGCTTGCCCTGTGTCCCCGTGTTTTTAGGATAGCGGCCACCCGGAGACGCTGGTTAACCTCATAGTCCTGTCTCAGCACCTAGGCAAGCCCCCTGAGGTAGGTGCCCTCCCCCAGTCGGGTGCAGGAGGGTTGTCTGGCCCTCACGAAGCCAGCCTGGGGCAGGTGGGGGTTTTGGTGTGGCCTCAGCTCCAGAGGAAGTTCGGGGCCTCAAGGTCTGGACTTCAGGGTTGGCCTGGGGTTTGGGCAAAAAACTACTCCCCATGGGCAGGTACAGTTGCCATTGGGGACTGGGAGGTTGGAGTTGCAGCTGCTCTCCCAGGGTCCCCACCCTGGCCAGGGCCACAAGTCATCTGGTCCCATGGGTCCTATGAACAAGTGGGCTGAGGCTCAGAGAGGGCACCAGGGCTGGGACCCTGACCTGTGCTACCTCAGGGTGGGGGGTAGGCAACAGGGTGGAGAAGGGGCTCAAGGGAGTGATCCCCACCTTGTCTGAGGGATGGGCGGGAGGAGGATGCTGGAGCACTGCTCATTTACTAGTAGGTGACTGCTGACTGGCCCAGCTGGCCAGGGGCCCAGCCAGGGATCCGTGGTAGTCACTTCCTGGCCCTTATAGAAGAGTTCTTGGGCAGCCTCAGCTAGGGTGATGCAGGACAGCTAGGCTGGCCCTTCCAGTCACCGTAGAAACAGACCCAGACTCCTAGTCTCAGGGAGACAGACAGACAAATGCCCCAGCCCCATACAGTCAGGCCTGGGCCTAGCGGGTGGGGCAAGGCTGCCAGCAAAGGTTCTGCTGGGGCCTATGTTTCAGTCCCCAGGCCTCTGGGTTCCTCAGACTCATCTTCCTTCCCAACTCCATTCCCCCTGACCTACCCTCCACTCTTCCTGGCCCCCCACCCTCTGTCAGGGCTTCAGGTCCCTGTGTAGTCCACTCCGTGAACACTGTGGTACATCCCCCATCCATGTGCCAAGCCTGGACACTGTTCCAGGGTGGGGCAATGGAGGACATGTGGGGAGATCCGGGCTCCTGGCAGGGAGTGTGCTGAGTGGCCC